GAAAAGAGAGTTTATGAAATATCCACGTTTTGTTGCTGAAATTATTTTTAGAAAAATATTAAAAAATTTCACTAAGAGGGTCTTCTGAAGAAAATATCCACTTAGGAAGCCTTCAGTTTTGAAGTTGAAAAAAAAATGAAATATCCACTAAAAAGGTCTTCAGAATAAAGTTAATGAAAGATTGACATTTATAGTTCAGATGGTTTGCAGTCTAAAGAATCAGTCTTAAAAATCAATAATTGCACCTCAGAGGGTGTTCAAAAAAATTGAAAGAGACTCGGAGTGTCTTCCGTAAAAGTCCTAAAAATCCACTATGACAACTCAGAAAATAAATTTAATTTAACTTATATAACTCAGAGAGAATTTCAGAGGATGTTAACCTTCTCTTATATCTTCTGAAAACCTAAATCGTCAAATTGCGGAGAACCCCAAATGTCAAAAAGGACTTATAGTTAGGAAATGGTATCAGAAATCTTAAAAATGTGGAAAACAGAAGGGTACCATTATATGGAGGTTATACATAAAAGTGGACCGTTGTCGCCCCCGAATGTAGTATCCCAACCATAAGTCAAACTTTTCTACAAAATCTTAACAGTCTATTTAAAACTACCTTCAATTGACAGAGAGATGAAAGACGTGGCTATGTCGGCCTGAAATTTTATGCTAATAAGGAATACATACACTATAAGGGGTCTCAGACGAATCAGGCATAAGCCTTGATAAAAAAAAACGCTGACTTGTTTACCAGGTTATGCAGACAAAAGTATTGAAAATTGTGCTACTTTGTGGGTGAGGTACCAAAAGGGGTTCGCAGATATACAGGGTGAGATATACAGGGTGAGGGTCGGAAGTAGCATCAAATTTTACAATAAGTTTAAATTTATTCGAATTGGTCACCTTTGGCACGAATTATGACCTTCAAACGGCCAATGAAACCGTCACACCAAAGTGTCATCTCATTACCTCAAGCATGCGCTTCGCCAAGATTGGGCCAAAATATCACAGAGCAACATTAGGACAGCGTGCCCCAGGCTTTAATACACCCTCCAGAATATTTTCGCGATAATATTCGGTATTTATTCTGATGCCACGGTCGATTAATACGAGCGAAGAGCAACCATCGGCTGTTATGGCGGCCCACACCATCACCATGGCCGGCGCTTGAGTTCTGGTGACCAACCGAAAGTGCACATTTTCGGCTGACCTCTTCGGCAAGTAAACACGATCATTTTGTCTGTTTACAAACTGCTAGACAACGAATGTTTTCTCATCGGAGCGGAGAAAACCAAATTCGGCAGTTCACCACTTTCGGCCAAGCGAAGTAACTCTTTAGCTCTTTTGAGTCCATTTTCTTTCTGTTGTGGTGTAAGTTCTTGCACTTTTCTGAATTTCAAAGGCCTTAACCTGAGCTCTATTTGCCGAATGGAATATTGCGATATGTTCAGCTCACGAGCCATTTTACGGCTACTGCGAAGCGGGTTTCGATCAAGTCGCTTCTTTACTTTTCGAACCATTTCTGCTGATGTTGCTGTTTTCTTCCGTCCACTTCCTTGACGATCGATGGTACGAGACACAATAGATTTATTCACATTTAAGTGCTGAGTTCTCTAACGATAGCTACTTGTGTTTTTCCAGCCAAACATAAAGAAATCAGACTATCACGCTTGAGTTCCATCACGAATAACGTTTTTTCTGGAAAATTCTCACCAAAATGCTTTTGAATAATTTTAACAGCTGTGGGACGAGTGGCTTAGAAATGACAGCTGTCTGAAGTTGGTTGGTTGGTTTTTCATCTCACCCTGTATCTCATATAAAGTAAAAAAGTGATGAAAACTTTATCCACTAGTCCAAATCTGGCACCTCGCAATATTTATATCTTGTTTATTTCGGACCTATACGAAATGGACAATGTTGGCCTTTTTTTTTGCAACCTACTCCATAGAGGGTCAAAAATTTGAATAATCATAACAGAAGTCAAAATATATTTTTATATAATCGGACATTGGCAGAGGGTATACATCTGTCGGCAAAACCGACTGATACCTTTTAACTTGTTTTAACCTAATTACGGCAAAGTAATTTTTGTGGGCGAAAATACAAAATCCGTTTTTAAAAAGCTGATATTAAAATGGGTATCATTTGCTTGTGGAAATAACTATCCAAAAAGAAGTCATATGTGGGTAGTTTGAACGGGTACCGGAGCAATAGAAGAAAATTGGTGATTTGTACCGGATCTTTTGGAAAAACTAAAATTTTCTTTCCCATAGAACTGAAACCCCCATATGTCAAATAAGAGAGTTTCAAAACTGTAGCTGATGCCTTCAAAATATGGAGAACAAGGTGGTATTATTATATGGAAGTTATACATAAACGCAGCAATGCAGCAATATGTGAAATTTAGTCTTTAATTAAAAAAATATCCAACTGACAGATAAGGGACATATCTACATCGACTTGGAATTTTAACCTGATGAGAAAGGTATACGAGTTTTACAAATGTTACAAATGGAATGCCAAATTTATGGTGGTGGGTGTACATGGGTAATTCCCTGGTAACTAAATTATCTAAAATAACTTCCATTTTTTTTTTATTTTCCTTCAATAGCTAGCATTTCATTCGACTTGTACTGAAGCAAGTCCCCCTCATCCTTTGGTTTCACTAAGTCCAAGTTGAAGCTGTATTACCATAACAGAGACAACTGATAACCAGTAAGGAAAGCTCAAAAGTCGGGCGGGGCCGACTATATGATACCCTACACCACTATGCATATTTAGTAGAGCTCTCGTAAAAAGGTTTATACAGGGCATTTCAGAGCTCTATGAGTTATTTGGTACAAAATCAAAATCTATCTAATTCTATCGTGCATTTTACGAACTATAGCTATCTCTGAACCGGGTTTCTCCAAATTTTACGTATTAGCTTCTAGACTGGTGATTTGGGCTGATATTGAACATTTAGTGCACATTTCACCCGAAATCGGATGAAGATATATATGGGAGCTATATCCAAATCTGAACCGATTTCGATAAAAATACAAACAGCTATTTCTGGGCTGTATCTTATATCTGGCACCAAATATGATTCTTGTGGAGTGCATATTACGAATGTGAGAGGCTTAAACACCAAATCGGATGAAAGATATATATGGGAGCTATAGCTATATCTGAACCGATTTTCCCAAACCAATTTTGATATACTTGCTTCTAGGCCGAACTCGGTTGGGTGTGCCAAAATTCAGGTAATTTGGACTGATAGTGGACATTTGGTGCACATTTAACCCAATATTCAGGTAATTTGGACTGATAGTGGACATTTGGTGTACATTTAACCCGAAATCGGATGAAGATACATATGGGAGCTATAGCTGTTTCTGAACTGATTTTCTCCAAATTTGTTGTATTTTCTTTAAGGCTAATCTCGGTCACATGTGCCAAAATTCGGCCATTTGGGCTGATATTGGCCATTTGGTGGTCAATTAACCCGAAATCGGATGAAGATATATATGAGAGCTATATCCAAATCTGAACCGATTTCGATAAAAATACAAACAGCTATTTCTGGGCTGTATCTTATATCTGGCACCAAATATGATTCTTGTGGAGTGCATATTACGAATGTGAGAGGCTTAAACACCAAATCGGATGAAAGATATATATGGGAGCTATAGCTATATCTGAACCGATTTTCCCAAACCAATTTTGATATACTTGCTTCTAGGCCGAACTCGGTTGGGTGTGCCAAAATTCAGGTAATTTGGACTGATAGTGGACATTTGGTGCACATTTAACCCGAAATCGGATGAAGATATATAGGGGAGCTATAGCAGTTTCTGAACTGATTTTCTCCAAATTTGTTGTATTTGCTTTAAGGCTAATCTCGGTCACATGTGCCAAAATTCGGGCCATTTGGGCTGATATTGGCCATTTGGTGGTCAATTAACCCGAAATCGGATGAAGATATATATGGGAGCTATATCCAAATCTGAACCGATTTCGATAAAATTTAAAACAGCTATTTCTGTGCTCCATCTTATACCTGGGACCAAATATCACGGTTGTGGAATGCATAGTAGGAATGTGAGGGACTTAAAGATCAAATCGGATGAAAGATATATATGGGTGCTATAGCTATATCTGAACCGATTTTCTCCAAATTTGATATACTTGCTTCTAGGTCGAACTCGGTTGGGTGTGCCAAAATTCAGGTAATTTGGACTGATAGTGAATATTTGGTGCACATTTAACCCGAAATCGGATGAAGATATATATGGGAGCTATATCTAAATTTGATCAGGTTCTCACCAATTTCAATAGGGTTCGTCCTTGGGCCAAAAAAATATTGTTTGGAAAATTTCATCTCAATCGGATAATAAATGCGACCTGCATTTTGTTCACAAGAATACATGGACAGACGGACGGACGGACGGACAGACGGACTGACATGCATAAATCGACTCAGAAAGTGATTCTATGAAGGTTCTCAAAAGTAACTATGGGTCTATCTCGTTTCCTTCTCCATGTTACAAACAAATGCACAAAGACATAATACCCTTACCACTATGTGGTGTAGGGTATAAAAATAACCAAACAAAATCGGAGACTACCACAACAACAACAACTCTCTGGGGGTAAGTTGGCAAGTAACAGTTGCATGTTGTCCCAACTACTACTGCTATTTCTGTCGTATGTTGTTGGTCTCTTTACCAAAGCTGTTACCTACTACTTACGACTACTACAACCACTGCCAACAACAGACCAACAAGCCCCAAGCTCATGTCGGTAAACAAGAAAACCAAACCAAAAATAAGGCAAAACACACAAGCAATGGACGCCGTTATTGCCGGTGACGACGCCGCCGCTGTAGTCACTCGTTCGCTCGCTCGTTTACTTCATCATCATCGGTGTGCCAGATATTTGTTTGGCCATAATTTTTTAAAGTTTAGTGTACGACAAAACCTCTTAACGTCAATAACGTGCGAACGGAGTGAAGTTTGAAGAGCAAGCGAAACGAAACGAAACACAAGAAACCTGAAAAAAAGCTAAGAAGAAAAATAACGGCTAACAGTGTCCGGGTGCCGTCCGTAGAGCGTGCTTCAAACGTAGAAGAAGAAAACAAAATCGCAATTGTTTGTTTACTTACCGTGCGAACGAAGAAGATCTGTTTTGCGGTTTAACTTTCGTTTTTCATATTTGTCAAAGAACGTGGAAAAAAAGAAGCGGGAAATTCTCTCGCTTTTCAGAATTGAAACAGAAAATAAGAAAAAATTTGAAATTTTTTTTGGAATTTAAAAAAAGAAATAATTTCTAACAAATCATTTGGAGAATTTTTTTTTTTTCGATAAAATAACAACCAGCTGTAGTGTTTTTCTTTCTTTCTGGTATGTCTTGCCTTGTGTGTTCCGAAGTGAAATGAAAATGTCAATGGAAATTATATTGAGAAAAAAAAGAAAATTTATTTTCATTTTTCCTTGTGTTGATTTTCCTTTTATCTTGATGTCCAATCATTGTCACCTGTACAGCGGTCATCAGAGTTGATCAGTTTATAATCTGTTAATTGCTGGAGATTAAAGTGAAATTTCTTTTTTTTTTTTTTTTGGTGTTTTATATTTTTTTTGTTTTTCTTTTAAGCTTTGTGAGTGACAAATACAAAAACAAAAAGAAGAATATCTGTGTGTTTTCTAATAAACCAAGAAAAATATTTCTTTCTAAATAATTGGATTATAATTCAGCGGCTAGAACTACAAAATCATCGTCACATCATCATTAATCGAAATTGTTAATCAATTAAAAAATCAAATTTTAATTGTTGGGTGAATATAAATAAAATTATTATTAATTTTTATATAGTATACTATTTATATACTATTAAAAAAAACAAAAGGAATACCCAAAAACAATATTTTGAGAATATTTATAATTTTGGTTTCCACTGCAGGTTGAATATAAATTCAATAATTACTGCTCAAATTATTGAATAAGTTTCAAGACAAAAAAAAAGAATACCACCAAAAACAATACATTCGGAATATTTAAAATGTTTTTTTTTATCATATGTGTATAAACGAGTTTTGAATATTTGAATAATAAAAACACATCATTGCAAGGTATTCACATCTCTACCGCATTTTGTTTTTTGTTAAAAAAAAATGTGACTTTTAATTATGATCTCCCAGCTAATGGGTTTTAACTTGAAAGCTCTAAATGTTTTTAATAACGAATATTATTTTATTTTTATTTAAAAAAAATCTCAGATAATAAAAAAACGATTAAATACCATTATATTTGGTCCATCGAAAATATTCACATTTGGATAATAATAAAAATAACGAATCATTTGAAACCGGTATTTTGTTTACAAATTTAATTTCCAATAATTTTTATAGTCCTCGACTAAATTTGGAGAGTTTATTAAATTGGTGATTCCCTTTGCAATATCTCGAAATAAACGTCGAAAACCATCATATTCTGTTAAAATCAAGATGGGGCTTACAGTTTTTATATAGTTTTATTGTACCATCCACCATACATAATATCGAGGGTATATTAAGTTCGTCATTCCGTTTGTAACTCATCGAAATAATTTTAGACCCTACAAAGTATATATATTCTTGATCAGCGTAAAATTCTAAGACAATTTAACCCTATCCGTGCGTCCGTCTGTTATAATCACGCTAGAATCAAAACAAATTACGACATGAAGCTAAAATTTTGCACAGATCAGTCTTTTGTCTGTAGGCAGGTTAAGTTCGAAGAAGGGCTACATTGGTCCTCGATATCATATGGCCCCCATATAACGGTTTCCCCGATATTCGCATTTTTATAATTGTAAAAAAAGTTTTTCAATGGAATTTTCTGAAAATCTTCAATTTTACCTTCTGGAAAAGAATTGTATATAGGTCCACGATATCGTATAACCCTTATACACCTTACCCCCCGATATTCAGTATTTTGATTATTTTTGGAATTGTTTCAAATTTCGTAATAAGAGTTCCTAATGGGACCTACAGCATATGACAAAAAATTGCGTATGCAGTCCCACGTCTTCGTATCCCTATATAACGGTACCTCCCTATATTCGGTATTTTGACGATTTTAGACACAATATTCACAGGAATTTCGTATTTGAAGTTAAAAAAACTGCAACAAAGTCAAACGCCATAATTTTTACATTTTTTTTTAATTTTATTGAATGAAAGCAAAAAAATGTCGGAAATGGCATTAAATTTTAGAATAAGTTTAGATTTCTTCGAATTGGTCACCTTTGGCACGAATTATGGCATTCAATCGGCCAATAAAACCGTCACACGCTGCCCGACTGTTCCTCTGCGGTATTTTGGTCCATTCCCGGCGAAGCGATTGCTTGAGGTGACACTTTGGTAGTTTTTAGTGCCAACCTTGCTTTCCAAAATACTCCAGACACAATAGTGCAACGGTTTTGCATCCGGAGATTTTGGTAGCCATTTTTGCGCTGGAAATGAAGCGAGGAACCTCATTTTGTAACCATTCTTGGGTGACGCGTGCTGAGTCCTGTTAGAATGTCCAAGTCTGCGGCCAAAATATTTTCGCATCCAAGGCTTTAATACACCCTCCAGAATATTTTCGCGATAATATTCGGCATTTATTCTGATGTCACGGTCGATTAATACGAGCGGAGAGCGACCATCGGCTGTTATAGCGGCCCACACCATCGCCATGGCCGGCGCTTGAGTTCTGGTGGCCAACCGAAGGGGCCGTTTCAACTGACCTCTTTGGCAAGTAAACACGATCATTTTGTTTGTTTACAAACTGTAGTTGACCACTTTCGACCCAGCGAAGCAATTCTTTAGCTCTTTTGAGTCTATTTTCTTTCTGTTGCGGTGTAAGTTCTTGCACTTTTTGGAATTTCAATAGCTTTACCCCGAGCTCATTTTTCAATATTTGCCAAATGGAATATTGCGATATGTTCAGCTCACGTGCCATTTTTCGGCCTATGCGACGCGGGTTTCGATCTAGTCGCTTATTTACTTTTCGAATCATATCAGCTGATGTTGCTGTTTTCTTCCGTCCACTTCCTTGACGTCAGGCTACGCTACCAGTATCACGGTAACGAGCGATGGTACGAGACACAAAAGATTTATTCACATTTACTTGTGGTTGAATTCCATCACGAACAACTTTTTTCTGGAAAATTCTCACCAAAATACTTTTGTACGCTTGTAAACAATATAATGAGCTGTAACTGGAATAATTTTGGCTTAAAAATAACAACAGTCTGAGGTTGGTTTCAGTTTTTTTTCATCTCACCCTGTATAACAATAATTAAAATTTACAAGGAATATTAATCTGAAAATCCTTAAAAATAATAAAGCGGCTATCTATTTTGAAGGAACTTGGAAATTTCAATTTTCAAATTCCGTAAAAAATTCTTCTCAAATGAAACCAATTATATGTGGACTATACGATGACGTTTTCCTTCATTAATAATTTTAATACAGTGTTGTAATAACTGCCATAGGTTATAGAAACTCTGACGAACTTCATTTACGATATTTTAAACAATACTGGTGAATCATACCGCAAAAATCATCATAATACCGAATATCGTGAGGTATCGTTATATGGGGGCTATACGAAGACGAGAACATGCATACGTGAGTTTTTTTATATATTTCGTAGTAACCATTTCGAACTTTAAATGCAAAATTTGAAATCACCAAAATGCCGACTATTGAGAGGCAGCGGTGTATGGAAGCTATATGAAAACGTGGTGGCCCATTTACTCACTTAACCTGCCAACTGGCAAACTACACATGTGTTCAAAACTTTAGCCTTATATCTCAGTTCCTTCAAAAGATAGCATGATTACAACAGACAGACAGATGGACATCGCTATATCGACTTAGAATTTTACGCTTATCAAGGTTATGTATACTTTGTTGGGTCTGATATGAGTATTTCGAGGTGTTACAAACGAAATGACAAACTTAATATACCCTCCATACTATGGTGGAGGTTATAAAAATGATGTGCCATCTAACTCACATCCTCATATATCTATATTCCTTCGCCTATGACCCACTTCCATTACGAAGGGTGAACTTACGACCAACAAAAAAAAGAAGATTTATCTTTGCATTGTTTCGCCGTGTGGCCCGTAAATCACCGCTGTTTGCATCTCTTAGTTTGTTGCACATCTTAGCGATTCTCAATGTCATCGTTTTGCAGGCCAATAACCCATCAGGCAACGGTATTGTAACAATATTTTGTTTTGTTTTTATTTTTTCAAACCTCACATTCAATTTTCGAACTATGTGAACAGATGTGGCAAAAACCGGTAACTAAAATAAAGATTTTTAAAACAAAACATGCGATTCTTATGGTTTTTGTTTGTGATTCTCATGATAGGTAATATAGAATTGGGGATTTCAGATATAAACATTCTTAATAAGATTGTGGATTCTTTTAAATATGTAAATATATGAAAATGGAGCACCCAAAAAAGGCATTCTAATTTATTCATTTCTGTCAATCAATGAATGATGGACAATCTATTTAGGGTACATATTTTTAGAGCTATAATATATTGTCAACCCATTACAACTAATAACAAAATATTAACAAATATTGTCCCACATTTATATTAACAGTTTTATGTGAAAGTTTTATCCATCAGCATCCCAGTGATATAAAATATGAAATTTTACCAAAAGTATTATTTATTATAATCTAAATAATCATCAACCTCAAATATGTGATAATTTATGTTTTCGTATTTATATTCAGAAATTCATGTATGCTTTTCAAAATCTCGGAAGAACAAAAATATCAATAAGAATTAATTATATGACTTGATGTATACACATGCATATCAGAGAACATAATTTATTCATAGAATGATTATTACCTTCAATTCTTAACGACAAATGATAAAAATATTAATTTTTGTTGTCACGACTCTTGTTTAGGAAATAGATTCATATGTAGCGACATAGTCCGAAAAGTGTTTTGAAATCAGTTGGTGGAGGGACCCCACGTGACAAAAAATTTAGTTTTAAGTGTAAAATGCACTAAAATGTCGGGAAAAGAAGTATTTAGAAGCTGGCCCGTGTGCACAGGTCCCTGGTTGAAGAACTACTTTTCTCGAAATATTTAAAGAGTGATATGAAAAAGGGCAACCAACTTCAGACTGCCGTCATTTCTAAGCCACTCGTCCGACAGCTGTTAAAATTATTCCAGTGACAGCTCATTATATTGTTTTCAAGCGTAGAAAAGCATTTTGGTGTGAATTTTCCAGACAAAAATTTATTCGTGATGGAATTCAAGCGGGATAGTGTGATTTCTTTATATTTGGCTAGAAAACCACAAGTGGCTATCGTTAGAGCACTCCAGCATTTAAATA